ACTAAAGCCATTCGAAACCGGCAGTGGTCCTATAATATCGATATGTAAGTGCTCGAATCTGTTATCGGGATGACGGAAATGACCTACTGCGGAACTGGTGTGGCGATGTATCTTAACTCTCTGGCATTTTATACACGCTTGCGTCCAATTACGAATATCCCGATTCATACTTGGCCATACAAAACGTTCGCTGATTAGTTTGGTGGTGGCCTTTATTCCGGGATGCGAAATACTGTGCATGGCTTCGAAAATGTTTCGCCTTAGCGGCTTTGGAATAAATGGTCTTGGTTGACCTGTAGAAATATCGCAGGTGATGCTTACTTCTTCCAATGGAGTTTCTTTGAGAACTAACGAGGTTGTATTGGCAGACTTTAGTCTGTTTAACTCGACGTCGATATTTTGTAATGCTGCTAACTTGTGATAATCGATTTCAGACTGGATAAGAGTGTTGACCATCGTCCTGGATAACGCGTCTGCCACTTCGTTACTATTGCCTTTGATATACTGTATGTTGGACGTGAATTGGGAAATAAATTCCAATTGTCGGATTTCCCTCGGCGAGTAGTTATCCTGTTTGGCGTTCAATGCTTTTGTGAGGGGTTTATGGTCTGTATATACTGTGAAAATGGTACCCTCAATCATATGTCGGAAATGTTTTATTGCCAAGTAAATCGCTGGGAGTTCTCTTCCGAAAGTACTATATCTTGTTTGTGTCGGATTCAGTCTTTTCGAGAAAAATGAGAGCGGTTCCCACATGCCATTTACTAATTGTTGTAAAACGGCTCCTACCGCTACGTCTGATGCATCCGTCGTGATAGCTAACGGTGTTTCGCTCTTTCGTTTAATTGGTGTCACTTCTTTATTTAGTGCTTTTTTAGCGTGCTCGAATGCTTGAATCGCGTCTGGTGATAATTGGAATGTCCGTGCGTTTCCGCGTAATGCATCTGTTAGTGGTTGCAATATTGACGCACAATTCGGGATAAATCGTCTGTAATAATTTATTAACTCGAGAAATCGGTGTAACTTTTTCCATGAGTCGGGTAGGGGATAATTCCTAATGGCGTCGACTTCTGTTGCTATTGGTGTGATGCCTTGAGAAGTTATATTTTGACTTAGGAACTGTAAACATTCTTTTCCGAATTCACACTTCTCAATATTTATAGAAATTCCATGTTCTCTGAGTCGCATAAATAATTGCCGTAGTTGTTGTATATGCTCATCTTTAGTGGTGCTAGCTACTAATAAATCGTCGATATACGCGTATACCCCGGGTAAACCTCTAATGACCTGGTCGATAAACCTTTGAAAGGTTTGTGCCGCGTTAGTCAGTCCAAAAGGCATACGCAAGAATTCATATAGCCCAAATGGGGTTGTTACTGCTGTCTTCGGTATGTCTTGTGGGGCAACAGGGATGTGGTAGTATGCTCTGACTAAGTCGATCTTCGAGAAGATAGTGATGCCCTCTATGCTGTAGGTGAAATCATGGATGTGCGGTATAGGGTATCTGTCAGCTACTGTTTGTTTGTTCAGTGCTCAGTAATCTCCACATGGCCTAACATCTCCATTCTTTTTCGGGGCCATATGTAACGGGGATGCCTACGGGCTGCTCGATGGCCTTATAATGCCTAGCCTCATTAGTTTGTCGAATTCCTGTTTTGCGATGGCTAGTCTTTTGGGATCTAACCTTCTTGGTCTTGGATTGATTGGTGGACCATTCGTTACGATGTGATGCTGAATAGAATGTTTGAGATCCGCTTTATTGTATGTTACTTTTACGAGTTCAGGGAACTCCCTTAACAACAATTTATATGGATCACCACGACTTTTATCTATCACAAGGTTCATTGAAACGGCTTCCGTAAGTATTCCTCTTATCGAAGTGGTTTGACTGCCGTTTATAAGTCTGTGTCGTCTAGAGTCTACTAGCAGGTCAAAGTTACATAAGAAATCTATGCCTAATATGGGCATCGATACGTCTGCTATGACAAAGTTCCAGCGGTATGAAGCGCCACGTCCAAAATCTAGGGACAATTTCCGTTTACCATATGTCTTAATATCTGATTTGTTTGCTGCTCTTAGCACTAATGACGGATTAATGTTTTTTCTTTCCTCGTTAAATGGAGGTACTAAGCTAATTTCCGCTCCAGTGTCAACTAAGAATTGTGCACCAGTGGTCGGTCTTGTATATAAAAGAGGCGAATATTTTCAGGCATTATGTGCGTCGATGCCGTTGCCATTGATACTCGTGGGTTTCGGTTACTAGCCCTGTTAAATCTACAAGGTTGTAAGCACTTTCTAGCCCTGTAGCTGAACACTTGATGATACCAACATATCGCGGGAGTTGTGCGTCATCTAGAAGTTGACCGGGTCCTTTCACGCGAGCGATCTCGCGATGACCTTCGTGGCTTTTCTCTCTGCGTTAATTCTGTGAGTTTGCGGCATAAAACATTTATTTCCTTCTGTAGAGTATCAAGTATATCGTCTACCGTCACGCTGTGTAGTGGAGGGCTTGCTTCCTTGCTTCTTTCGTATATTCTATCGGCTATCTTTGCTATATTGTCTAAATCAGCATCCGTATCTCCCACAGCTAGGATCTGCTGTATATTTGCCGGGAGTCCGCGGAGCCACAGTTGATAAAAGAGATTATTGTCAATGTGTCTATCGCCAAGTAGACTTTTCATATAATTTTTTAGTTGTGATGGGGTTCTATCTCCAATTTGTACTTGGCTAAGGAGTTGTTCGACGGCTTGTTGGTCACTGAGAGAGAGAGTTTTAATTGCTGCCTCTTTTAGCACGTCGTATGGTTTTTCTGTCTCTGGTTTTGCTAGTGCCTCTCGAACGCTGTCAGCTACTTCATCTGGGAGTAGTGTGCTTGTCAGGCCGAACTTATCCTTTTGCAAAAGAATGCGGTTAGCGAGAAAATAATTTTCAAGTCTTATAAACCAAAGTTTTGGGTCTGTGATTTTAAAAGAAGGGGCAGGGAGGTTGAGAGACCTCACGGACGAGGCTTGCTGTACGCTTGAAACTGTGTTTTCGTAAGACATGTTTATAAAAATTAAGTGGCACACGAAAATAATTTAACAGTCCCAAGGAAGAATAGACGGGCAAAAACAATGATAATAAAAAAATGGCACAATTTATAAAATGGAACAGACTTACTAAATTGCACCAATATATCAATTGTTTATGGATAATTGTTATTTATTATGATTATAATCGTCACGTTTAATAATGTTTGCGAAATGATGTAAGTGTAATCAAAATAATAATATAAATCCACAGTTGTAATTATAGTTCATTTGATAATCCAAATTGAGATGAAGGTAGTCGGATTTTTGGAATTTGATTATTTCGTCAAAATTCGCTTCCCGTTCTCACGTCGGGATTACCAATTCTGTAGTGGCTGTGCTTCGATAATTAATCACCCTCGAACCGTTCTCGTATAATCTTCAACGATGTTTGAAATCGGAATGCAAAAAGAAGCAGCTACTACAGTTTATTTAGTAGATAATTCGGACCAGACAGCAGAGAGGCAAAATGAATGAGCAAGTGAACTACGATTGTAGCAGTAGCAGTAGTAGTTGTTGTAGTGAATGGGTGCAAATGTACACAGATATATATGTATAGGAAAATGGATGAGTCAGCGAATAGACTAAGCAGTTAATAATGAAGCTAGCAGAATGAATACATGCATAGGCGCTAAACAATGTTCAAGCATATGTATTTCATACAAGCATAATAATAAAGATAGTACAACAAGTTGTTATATCATGGATGACTTTGTCCATTAAATAGGTCAACAAAAGACCTTGACTGAACTAAACTCAATCGCACGTGAGTCGCTATACAACAAAACTTCGACAAGAGCTAGTGTTCAGATTATGTAATCTTCCTGTAACACGCACATAGCATTTAGAAGTATGCGAATTGACATACTAACTACGAATCCCCGAAATAATACACTTTAAGCAGATAAAACTAGATGATCGCAAATAAACGTTTCATATTCGTAACTCCTAATAAGTGCACAATCAAGTACCAAGGAATCATCGGTTAATACATTTCTTACAATAAGACAATGATATAGTGCTAACTATGCAACACAATACGTCTTCGTTGGTGTTGACCTGGCGTCAAAAATTCTGGATTTTGTGATCATCCTTCTACATTAGAGATACAGTATTTTGGGAGATAATCTGGTACCATTTTAATACCGTTTCATTGACTCTGCGAATGCAAGAGAAGTTGAAAGTATAATTCACAATTTAACTGTCTATGGGAGCTGTAAGTATGTATTAGAACACATAGTTTCACTGTGATTTCAGCAACATAAAGAAAACCACAGCATGCATCGATGTTGTTAAGCTAGTCGTTAGCATAGCTTGACTATAGTATTCTTCATTTGATATTGAATGCAACAAACTAAAAGGTGCGCCACTTCACGTCTTCGTTTTTCTGTTTCTGGCATTTTCACATTTTAGTTTTAGATTTCTCGCAATTTGTATTACTAACTTAGGAGTTCATACTTGCAGTCAGTAAACATAAGCTATGTGAGTAACCAATTGGGATTAAACTTCTTTATATCCACATTACATATTCAGGAATTTAGATGTAATCGGTGAGGAAATGTGTCATAATTGTTCTCCCATGGATACTGGGTTGGGTTTCGGTTATAGTTGTTGTTGTCACTACTTATTTAGTAGTCGTGCATATGACTGAATCATTCGGTATTTTTAAGAATTCGTAGTTTGGATACTAAGAGCCTCACGGTTTAGTCATTCATTAACACCACAGACTTCAAAACATACGGTCTCGTCAAAGTAAGATGCCAGTGAAGTATATGTAAGTTACGCAATTTATATATTCTGTACAGAAGGATTGAGCATAGGCAGTATTCTTCCAGAAGAATGAATTCTATAGATAGAATGCGCACGACGATTTTGAAGCTCGAGATTCAATTAGAAATGACAGTTGGTTAATTTCATGGACCAATGTCACGTTTTCTGGTTACCCTCTAGCTGTTTTGTAGCTTACTCTTATACTAGCCGTCATTTAGCAACGTGGTAACTGAGTATACGTAATACAAGTCCCACTCACCTTATTTGTCGACAATCCGGTTCTTGATCAGTCACCGTGCTTCTCCTGTCTACCACTGTATCTAATATCAGAATCGCTTACTCAGTGGCCCCAAATTTCATAAACAGTGCTTCAAGGGCATCCATAACCAAACATTAATAACGTATAAACGTTTTCCATTCCTAAAAACTACTTTGCAGCCGCAAATTGAAACAGGCCAAACTGTTCTAAAATATGCTCGTTCTTTGCTTGATAGACGAATATCTTGTATACTTCACTAGTGCCAAAAGTTAAACAAGAGTTTTGAATAGTCCAAACTTTCATCGGGCGTCCATCTACCAAGTCTTTTCAAGATAAGTGAAGTGACCGGCGCTCTCAACCACTTCGCTGCATACCACTAACCCAGACATCGATTCAGATCAGTCGTGAGGCAATATTTTACATCCTGAGAGAGTGAATCACATCCCAAATATGCTTGTTTCGTTGATCAAAGTGGTTGGGAGACTATTTTGGTCAGCGTCTCCAAATACAGCTGTCGTCGTAAGTTACTTATCAGTCTTATTTTGTACAGAAAATTGGTGGTTAATTTAGGCAACAATTTGTTATATGCTTACGATTACATATTAGACCAATTCATGTTTATCTTCTCTCTTTTTAGGTCACCAGAATTTTGATTGCTTCGTCTGATTTCTTTCATATTTTTCTCCCTCGTCGGATTATTACAATGCTGGCTAATGAACGATTGCGTTTCAAGCTTCATTCTGTCAACTATCCGGTGTACGATGTTTTCGATGTTTCAGGTTTTCGCCATAAAATCCATTTGTTTAATTAGTATTATAAAAGATTTGGCGAGTGTACGCAATGTGATCGTATGGCTGGAGGATAGGCTTATTCGAGCTCTTCCTGCTGAATCTAGGTTGCGTGACGTACAATCTTTGGAATGGACAAGCTATTTAAACAAGGTTTGTGCCTTCAGTTCATTTCCCTAATTCATTTCTTTTAGTATCTTCAGGCAGTAAAGTGCCCTTTTAATGAATCTAATTCTTGGGCTATGTTGGATTGGCTTCTTAGTAAAGCACTACTATTGGAATACAACTCATGTAGTCATTTGTACTATGATGTCATTATATTTTACCGATAGCTAGAAATACTCAACACAGCAGTATATCTGAGAACCCTACTATTTCCACGAACGCTTTTAATAACATAGATGGTGGCTTAGTGTTGTTTCTCTTTTCTAATCCTCTTAGCTAACAGTGATGAGTTTAAGGAAAATGTTTTAAAGATGGCTAAGTTATTGCAGATTCCTGCCCATCCAGATATCAAAATATTATTTAAGGTGTGGTAAATTGTGTATATTACTCATGTTTCCTATAACCAAGGCCGTCTGTTTAGTTATCGAACAAAAACTTGAAGTAAATATATTGAATGATGCTATAACGAACTATGGGACATCTAAAGTGAGTTGTTTTCAAGTAAAGTTATGCACACTCATCAGCTTAAGTGTTCTTTTATTCTCTTATTGGTTACTTAATTGGGAAAATTCTTTTGTATACAGGTCCGTCTTTCAGCAAACTTTATTGCAATCACTTATAATAATCCCATGAGACGATATATGTTTATTTATTTGACAGTTTATTCTTTGTAATATTGAAGCATTTGGCTAAGTGTGATGTTCGTTTTTTCGACTTGCATGTATAAGGTTTGTACAGCTGATGAGATTAAGTGGGGAAATTATTTTCTGTACCAAATCAAATATAAAACTTTTGTCGCTTTCCTTATTGGTCAATCTTTTGTACTTAGATACCAGATGGTGATAAAGTTGGTGCTATTAGTTAGGTTCTATCGACCAAGGGTCTGGTCTAATCAGTTATGTAGCTAGAATGATAGGACGATGAATTCAATTTGGATTTTAATGTTTAGGAGTATTTTGGGGGAATTTTCCGTTTTATGCTTCAGGTATATAACCATGTATAGGGTAATTGGGTTTATAATTTCAATAAAACTCATGGCACTAAAGAAATGTAAGCCCACATTTTTTGGCATCGTCAGTCATAAAGTTAATACCGATAACGGGAAATTATCTTACGGTATCTCACTGTTTGAATATGACGTTTCATTAACCATGGAAGTTAACCACGTTTTAACGTCATTAATAGGTTACAGTGTGGAGTTATATGTTTTCAAGGATTTCTAACTTCACAATTTATTTACTAAGGCTACCTTAAATCGTGGAAAGTTAGTCTATCAGTTTAAGCAAAAGGAAAAGTGTAACAAATGACAATTAGAAGAAATATGCACCACAGTGAAGTATTTACATGTTTACATTCGAAACCACTACTGAGACCAACAGGAATTTCGATATTAAAATTGGTTTTAGTCTGTATCAAGTTACCTATGGAAACACTCCCTTCATAACTGCAATTAACACCACGAAAATGCATATATACATATAGTTTCATCGCTTGGTTGTCTGTTTGAGTCATTTAATACTGAAACCATATTTGTACTCATAAGTGTTTGTTTAAATAACAAGATAATTATTGCAACTCAGTAAATATATAGTAACTTGGAAACAAGGCTGTAGAGAACATGTTTTGTGAACTCTAGGTATCTTGCTACTTTGCTCTTCGACCTAAAAGTAAGTAAAGCATAGTAAAAGCTTACAACAAAGTTGAGCAAAGTCGATTCTCTTAACTATTGAGCCATAGTTTTATATGGTTAGAAAAGAAATGCAGTGAAATATTATGTAGTTTCTCTCCTTTTTGAGAGGTTTGATGAACTTCAGTTTATAAGAATATTATTTTAAAGCTTATCAGTAGTTAGCTGTTCATCTACTCAGTGTTTGGGAACCGGGTTTAAGATTATGAAAAAGATTTGTTGCTCAGATGGTTGCACTTGTTTGTTCCTTTGCTTGAGATAGGTGCTTTGATCGTGCTGCTTTGACTGTCCTTCTGGACAATATCGTTGGTGAAAACCACAGAGAAGTGGTCTTGGGTGCTGTTATAGGTATGAGGGCGGTTATCACTTCCCGGTTGCCCACACCGTGGAAGGGTTCTTCTGGAGGTACCTGAAAAGGAAATTGGATTATAGGTGGTCTCAGTGACCTGAGAGCGTGACCGCAGTGCCCAAGGGACAACTGCTTGAGGCCGGTCGCGCACGGCCTTTTCGTGGAAGGTTTTCGACGTGTTAGCTCCGTTCTTCAAAGGGCCTTACCGCCGGAGACGGAAATCCGTGAGGTAAGGTGAGGTGTGACATTTTTAGGGTCGACCTTTTCTAACCCCACCCCTCCTTGTGGGAAGGCAGCATCGCTGTCATGCTGGTTGTCTGAAGGAAACACCTTACTGCTGTCACACCTCTGTGCAGTCAGCAGTACTACTTCGCCTTCGGACCTTGGGTTTGTTGCTTTTAGTCTTACCGCTCTTCAACCGACCTGTCTGACATGGTAGGACCTTGAGGAACGGTTGTTCCAGCCAGTATAGCTCGGTTGCTTCATCACGATAGGCAAGCCCGACCACCACGTCAAGGTATCAACAACGGTCGGGGTAGCAACAACGGGGAAGGGCAGATGGATTGGCTCCAGAGGTCTTTAAGGATGGTGGTCCAATTTTAGCGATTAGGTTGACTAATATTTTAGCTAAGATCTGGGAATTAGACTTTATCCCATCTGACTGGTCGCAATCACTTATCGTCCCAATATATAAGAAAGGGTCAAAATCATCCTGTGACAACCACAGAGGGATTAGTTTAACAAACATAGTATCTAAAATACTGGCCTCGATAATTATCAGACGTCTAAGACTCGTGAACTACAAACTCGAGAAAATCAGGCTGGCTTTAGACCTGGTCGTGGCTGCATCGACCACATATTCACCATTCGTCAGATTCTAGAACACAGGCATACCTATCGGCGTCCGACGATGGTGGTCTTTCTTGACCTAAAAGCAGCGTTTGACTCTGTAGACCGCGAGACTCTGTGGCAGTGTCTGTCATTGAAAGGCGTACCTCAGAAGTACATAAACCTTGTGAAGGCTCTTTACCCGAACACTACTAGTCGAGTCAGAGCTTATGGCGAACTGTCATCTACTTTTGCAACCTCAAGTGGTGTCCGTCAAGGCTGTCCACTTTCTCCATTTTTGTTTAACTTCATCATAGACCTATTGATGGAAATAACACTCTCGTCGACTGAATTCTCGGGTATTGATCTCCTTCCAGGAGGTGCACTTATCGACTTAGAATACGCAGATGACATAGTCCTGTTTGGTGAAGACGCTGACAAAATGCAGAGTCTTTTGGTAGCACTAAGCAACAATGCCAGAATGTTTGGGATGCGCTTCTCTCCCTCTAAATGCAAGTTGTTGCTTCAGGACTGGTTTGCGTCAACACCTGAACTAAGGATAGGGAGTGAAGTAGTCGAACGCGTTGGCAACTTCACTTATCTTGGAAGTCTGATCAGCCCTAATGGGTTGGTGTCTGACGAAATCTCAGCACGGATTCGAAAAGCTCGTTTGGCTTTTGCCAACTTACGTCACCTTTGGCGGAGGCGAGATATCCGTCTATCAATAAAAGGACGAGTATACTGCGCGGCAGTCCGTTCTGTCTTACTTTACGGCAGCGAAACATGGCCTTTAAGAGTAGAAGACACCCGTAAGCTACAAGTATTTGACCACAGATGCCTTAGAAATATTGCTGGCATCTGCTGGGATCCACGGGTAAGTAATAGTGAGGTTAGACGCAGGGTATTAGGGAATGATGGTAAATCTGTTGATGAGGTTATGAATCTTCATCGACTGAGATTGTTGGGCCACGTGTTACGTATGCCTGAACACCGATTACCACGACGTGCAATGCTAACCGGTGTTGGAGATGGTTGGACGAAAGTTTGGATTGGCCAAACCAAAACGTGGCATCAGTGCTTGAACTCACTAACTTGTAGTCTGAGCCATGTTGGTAGATGCAGACTACTTGGTTGGGGTCCGCGTGACTATCGTAACCAATGGTTGGAGATTGTGGGTGACATGGCTCAGAATCGATCACAATGGCGTCGGTGTATACACTCTTTGTCTTCCCTTAAACTAAGAGATTAAAATCACTTCATATCTTTCTTTCTACGAACTAATTCTTCCTTCCTATACTATATCCTTATTGCAACCTTTGACCTAACCACTCCTATGAATCCGGTGTTCATCTTGTTGTGCTAATGAGGTATGGCAACCTGGACCGATGCACATATGTGCCTGGTCCTACGTTGTAGCTGACTGACCACAGAGAAGAGTGAGGTATTTATAATCATCTACACATGACTGACCGTTCTGTCTACCCTGATTGTTTGTTCCTGTTACCATCGATACTGTCACTATCACTACGATTTTCGGCTTTATTTGTCCGTACTAATGAAGTATGGTATGATGTACATACGCACCAGGTTTCACGTTGTGACTGATTGATTGACCCGTCCTGTTGTTATATGCACATTTATTTTGATTGTCATCCCCTGTAACTTCATTTTCGATCTGGCTGCCCATGACTTTTTAATTATGTGAAAATCGGATCAATTCCGATACATTTATTGATTGCTAATGAATCTTAGTGCCCAGTGGTCTTGGCGTTCCTTCTATCAAAGATTTCGACATTTTCACGGCCAAACATACATAATTGTCTACGTAGATTGATATGCAAGAAAATACATCCTAGTGTTCGACAACTAGGTGATGCTGATGCATGTTAAGATCGTTCAACTTGCAATTTATTGCTTGTTGCAATTAAAGAAAGACTAATTTATGTATGACATTTAAGCAACGCCAAAGTGACCTGGAGAATATTCTCCTACTTGCTACGGTTATAAGAGAGCCATAAGTTAGTGTGAAGTATTATGATCAGCTTTAACAATTGGACGTTAGGTTTAGGAACTATGGTTTTCATCACGAACTGGCATAAGCTGTAGTGCTAAAAGGCTATTTAACCTATGGACAAATAAATTTTGCGCCCAAAATTCTGATTGGTCCGTCCATATGTTATAATCTCGCAGCAATTGAAGCAAATAAATGTTAACTTTTCTACTTTCTCCATTTCATCCCTTTCGGTTTCCATAAGATTGGCTTGGTTTATGTTCTGCTTATATTCCGAACGCTCTCAATAAACTTGTTGTGACTTCTGATATGTCCTTCATATGTGGTAGGGTGACCTGTTTGCTGGTTTTCACACTTATTTTCGTTCCTATTGGTAATACGATTGTTTTATCATTTGAAATAAAAGCATCCTTTTGAAAAAATTGTACTAAAATAAGTAATACTTTCAGAAAATATGGTAAGTTTATGAGTTTGTATGATGATTTTTTTAAAAGAAACTGCATTGCTTGTAATGATAACATTTAGAAGAGATAAGAATATACAATCTAAATGTTGCGTCTTTTCGATTTTAAATCCTTGTACTTAAAATTCACGCAAACTTTCTATTTATTCGATTTTCTTGCATCGTTTAGGTTGATATGCTAAAGCTTGATGATGTATGCCTTGGATTTAGTGTTAAAGATCCTCATGTAAAGGCTGCAGCTATTGCGTTAAGATTGTTAAATATAGATCGGCTACGAAAATTACAGAACCAAGCAAATGCTAGCATAGTACATGTTCAAAAATTGACAGCAGACCCAAAAACTGACGAAAGACTTGGAAAAGTTGGCTTTTAATTTTTTCTTAATAAATAATTTGTTGAATGAACAGATTTCTCCATTGAGCAATACATGGTGATTTGAAATTATTACTTTTAAAGTGAACGTTTTTTGGTCTTATGATAGCTGAATATTGTGTATGCAGTCACTTCATGATGTCTCCTTTTGTTTTCGTATCGGTTTGTTTTCCTCGATGCGGATGTCTGGAAAACTAATTATTGTCGCTTTTTAAAGATGAAGCCAATGCTATTATCAGAGAGTTGATTAAAGTATTCAATATAGTATGGTGGTAAACTGCAAAGTACCATCATGCTAATAGTCTGTCATTACCTATATTTCTAGTCTCCGACTAGACTTTAACTATCCAGCCGTTAAGCAATGAACGTTTATGCATTCTGTACAC